CTCTCTCTCTCTCTCTCTCTCTCTCTCTCTCTCTCTCTCTCTCTCTCTCTCTCTCTCTCTCTAAGTCCATGGTAATGCTCTTCCCCTTGTCAGTCTCCCACTCTTGTTCCCTCCTCTTCCTATGATTCTCGTGCATCTCTTTAATAAGTGGGTCTCATGATGTGTTGTCCATTATAGGACACCTCTGGTGAGCTAATCCGTGGCATGATTCGCGAAAAACGGGTAAGGATTTTTGCCACCACCCTAGCCGGATGAGACTTACTTGTTTTCACCTACCCTGCGTGTGGTATATTGGTGATTGTTAAGGTGATGTGTTGAGAACCATAAAATCTTCCTTCGCCAGATGGCATGTCTGGTTGTTGTGATCGCGAACCGGCGCTTCATACTTGTGGTATGTGTGCTCTGGGATGCATGTCTGGTCATCTAGCTGCATGTTTTGGGAATGCTTGTGGGATGGGGTTTCACTGGAATGGCTTTGGCGCGTATGTGTGTTGACAGCAGTGCCGTACCCCCGTTCACCGTTCACGGGGTTCGTGAACGCGGGCCGGCCACCGGTCACGAAAAATGTAGTTCACGGAGTTCACGCAGAGCGGGAACTCCGTTTTTTTTTTTTTTTTTTGGCTGGTAGGGGGGTGTTTTTTTTTGCATCGGTGTGTGGTCCATGTCAATGGGCACCTGCCCAATTTTTTTTATTTTTTTTAATGATCAGAATATATATATATATTTTTATTGAAAAAAAAAATCAAAAAAGAAACCGAGTTCGGCTGTGTTTGTTATAGCTTCCGTCGTCTGTATGCCCATTCTGAGGGTGTTTTGGGGCCCTACAAAAACAGTGACTGACGACATCTAACATGGCGCAAGCGCCATACAACCACCAAMAAAAAAAAAAAAGAAAAAAAAAAAAGAAACAGATCGGGCCTCATTTCCCGCCAGGATGGTTGGTCGTCCGTTTCGTGGTGCCATAAAGCACCACATGCAATGGAGGCCATCATTCATTGCTATTCGTTGGGCAGTGGCCGTTCGTGCATGATAGCGAGAGAGATAGATAGATAGATAGATAGATAGATAGATAGATAGATAGAGAGAGAGAGAGAGAGAGAGAGAGAGAGAGAGAGAGAGAGAGAGAGAGAGAGAGAGAGAGAGAGAGAGAGACTTATGTCTGATTAGACGGCAGGACACGAAGTGTGCTTAAGCAGCTAGCTGTCTATAGGAGGATGGGTTGCTGTAGTGAGTTCGCGCTTTATTATGGATTTGGGACTGTTCGGATGTTCAATATCTGTATTAGGACTTTTATGACTACATGAGATCTCATGCTGTGGTGGTTGTGCATGATCACAATAAATCGGTGCTCCACATATGTTATCTAGTGACTCTAGTTCTTTTTCATTGGGTCGTTCGGAGGTTGATCACTACTCAGTCAGGGATCCTTCTACCCGGGTTGTATTATCCACATCTGCCAAATGCCATTGATCTATAGATTTCAGACGTTGAGGTCGAGTGTTGAGTGTAGTTAGGAGGGCGTTCGTTTCTCGGGAAGGGTAGTTTTCAGATTTGTTTCACCATCTCTTAATCAGCTTTCTCAGGAAGAATGTAGGATTTTCAGTTCTCATTCATTTTATCTGAAGAGTTTTTCTTCCTTGGTTGCGCTCACCTTTTATTAGTAATCCGTTCTGTTTTGGTTTCTGTTGATCTTTGCAAGTGACTTATGAAACGGTCAATAATTTGCACTCCATTGAATTGCTAGGATCGTTGCAGAAGCTTATAAGTGAAGTATTGATTGGCGGATGACGTGGATCTTTTCAGGTGTAAATATTCATGAGTGCATACGTTCTTATGATTGTCGACAAACGAAAATATAGTCGCCTTTCATGATGACGTCGTGCACTGTAGATGTTACTTGGTGTTCTTTGCTTGCAATAGATGAAACATTCTCTCCACCATGCTGGGTCCTTAGGTAGTATGGATTGTTCGCTGAACAAACAGGCAATGCTCACCCTTCTTCGACCTATGTATTAGTCGAAGTCTTGTACCCTGGGAATGTCACGCCCAACGCGACTTCCTGATCGGAGTGGGATGTGGGCCTAGAAGTGCGAAAAGGGGAGTGCCAAGGATTTTTGGAAAAGTGGGGGAGTCTTAGGGGTATGAATGCAATTAGGCGAATAAGGGGCGCGTGCACAAGGGACTCAAGGCCCGATGGGGCCCGGGGTACTGTGGGTGACGGCTCACGGGGAAGTCTCTCCGCGGAGGAGGTGGTCCCGAAAAGTTGGGCCGTCAGAGGCCGCCACGCGGCGCAGGTCGCTGCGTGTTTGAGTTGGGCCTTCGGACTTCCGGGGTTCTCCGTTCGCCGCTACGTCGGCAATTTTCGCAGGGCGTGCTGGGCCAGTAGGGGGCTATGGCCAGCCACGGAACAACGCTGGGTTGATGATACGGGAGAAGAAGGCGAAAAGGAGGGAAACTAGTGGTGATGACGACAAATCTCGGGTGGATAAAGTAGTAGGTATGGTCAGGAGAAGGGAAATCAGAGCACCGGGGGTCGCTAGAGGTGGCGCAGTGAAACTCTCGAGGACACAGTCGATTCTCAGTGTGGCAGGGGTATCGCTGCCCTAGGAGTTCGTTTATCCAGGGGGTGAAATAATCCCGGTCGTAGGTTGAGTCGGAATCCCAGGATCCCGTCATCATGACATTGCGATATTATGAGTTGCCTAAGGACGTGTCACGATCGTCGCGTGCGAGCACGTGCAGGCCGTGTGGCTGTCGTCGGACTTACACATGCTTGTGCAGGACGATTGCGCCGTTGCGGATTTCGAGATGGCCACTCTCAATCGGACGGATTGATGGTCCCGATGAGTCGACGCCCGGGGATATGTGTAAGTGCACAACTTGAATTGCATCTTACACGTGTCCTCGCGCGACGTTCACTGAGCCCGGCATCCGACCGCCTAATCGCTTCGTGATGTTCTGAGTTATGTGAGATGCAATGATCACCAACAGCTCAATCAAAAGACAAGCAGAAACAAAGACAGGATTATCGATTGCGCAAAATCCCTATTCTACACACGAGTGCGTCGAATGCGATCACAAAAGCAAAGACAATGGTTCCTCAGCAAAAGATAGGCAATCAAACATGGCATCCATACATCCATCCATTCCGCAATCATACATATAGCACATCAACGATGGGAGAGTCGCGAGGGCAAATGTAAGCAAAAACCCCAGGTCCAAATTTCGAGAAATTGAAAAGAACGGGCAAACTGCCCGAAGCCGAAATCAAAATTTATATACACGAGACAGGGGGGGGAGAAGAGACAAAAGAAACAACAAAACCGCGTCCATCAACCTCAACTCTCTCTCTCTCGCTCTTCTTCTCCGATGCGGACAGTCCGTCGTCACGCACCAACCCACGAACTCCGCTTAGTCCTCCCGCACCCGTCAGGTTCGCCCGCGCCCACAATCCTTCGTGGCCCGTGTCAACCCCGTGTGTTCGGCACCAGCTCGTCGGGTCGCCCGACTCCTGCTCTACTCACCTCTTACTTCGCTTGTGTGCTGACCCTTCCTGATCGCGCAACCCCGAGATTCCAACAACTGGTTAAGAGAGCTAACTAATCGCGCAACCGAAATTTATAGCGTCCATGCATGCGCGAAGAACACGGAATTACCAAGACTAAGAGGGGAGATTAGCGAGGGAGCGCCTACGTTTTGCATGACAGGGCCGCGGCCTGGGGGACGTAGCCACTCGCCACGCATCGATCTGAGCATGCAGTCCGTAGTTTCAAAAACGCAGCAAAAGAAAGAGAAGGAGGGCGGGAAGGACGAAGAGCGAGAAGAAAGATATAGTTACAATGGCACCAACCCAAGAGTACAGTTACACACCCGATTAAAGGCGCCGACTGATCAGAATTCCGCTGCAGCCGCAAAAAGAAGCGCGTAAGCAATTAAGGGTGCTGAGCGGCAAAAGAAAGTCCTAATTACAAAATTCCTAAATTCCTAACTAATGCGAAAAGCAAAAGTACAGGTTCCGGAAAGAAAGTCCGAAATTCCGAGAGTCATCGGGGCTCGACAAAATTCGAAAAAGATTTGAAAGAAAAATTCAAAAAGAACAAGGCAATTTCCTGCGCGATGTCCGTGCCCAAAAGATCGAAACCGAAGCGAGAGAAACGACGTCAACATTTATTAATTACGCACGCGGAGGCGCGCCAGCCATCCAGCCGACCAATCAATCAACCGGCCATCCCAAAACACGCCCAGCTCTGAACCCAGCCATTCGAAAAGAAGCGACGGAAAGGACGAAAAGGCAAGGACACTGATGCAATTTCCCACCGATTCCGATCTCCCGTAATTGGCCCAACCTTTCCAACTTAGGACCCCTCATTGCAACCGCGCAAAAAGTCGCGTGTTACAGAAAGTGGTTCGTCATATATGTGACGCCCAGGGGGTTCCTAAATTAGCAAGCTCCTGCTTGCTTGTCACACGTGCCGATTTCTCTGATCGACCGACACGCGGAGCATCTCTCTCAATGCCACTTACCGTTGAATTGAGTGTGGACGTCGTCCAACGTGGCAGTACTGCTCTTCTACTACTTCCTCAGGGTAGGCCTTCGACATTCCAAGTAGGGGGATTGCACGTGCCGCCGTTATGACACGTGTCCAATAGCCATACATCAGTGTCCGCAGGGGAGGGGAAAAGGAAGCCAGTACATAGCGGCATGGCGGGGTGGAGGGCTTATGGGTAGCGGGGGCAGGAGACTTTCCATTCTGGCCACAGTCTCCGGGAGCTCCTGATAACGAACAATGTGATGAAAGCAGGGGAATCGGTTGCCAGTGCGAGGGAGGGATGCGAGATAGTCAGGATAGAGGGTGGGGAGAGTTCGGAAGAGTGCCGCGCGGAAGCGATCGCGGTCTTCGCATGTGGGGATGGTCCCCGTTATCACGCAATAAACCTCGATCATATTGTGGCCTCGCCATGCGGCACTAAGGAGTAAGACATGGAGGCAGAAGGCCGGGACGGCGGATCGGATGGAGAGGTGGGGATGCACTACTATAGCGAGGCGAGCAGCGTAGAAGTGGCGGAAGGTGTCGCGGGGGAACGGATTGGAGGGGAACGTGACGGGGGTGGTGAGCTGGCGGAGGGTGAGGTAATCAAGGGGTCGGCGAGAAAGTGATCAGGGACGAAGACCGATCGTCCGTATCGGTATGTCGGCGAACTGGGGGACGGTATGGGGAGAAGGGGGATCGGCGCCATCGCCGCGCTGATGGGGTCGGAGTCGTGGCCGCGAGGTCGCCATCTTCAGGTCAGGGCGGCTCCCGATCTCGGCTTGGGTCGTCGTGGGTGTGCAGACTCGCCACGCTCGCGAGTTCTAAATTCTTTCCGGCCGCGAATTCTTCTCTTTTGCGGGCTGCCTCGGGGTCCTCCGCCTCCGTGCCTGTATGCAGTGCTTCTTCCGGCACAGCTTCCCACTCCGATCCAGCAGGTTCCTCTTCATGCTCCTCTTCTTCTTCCTCGTCTTCTTCTTCTTCGCTCTGTTCCCCCTCGCTATGCTCGCTATAGCTTCCTTCCTCGGGGGGTTTGTCCTCTTCACCGAGCACTTCGTCGATATCCCCGCCTTCTTCCCGCGCGTCTTCTCCTTCGTCACTCCCGGTGCTCTCTTCTTCCTCCTCTTCTTCTCGGATGGCAGCAAACTGCTCCGCTGTAGGGTACCTGAAGAAGGCAGGATCGAGAGTCGTCCGGGGATCGAAATACTGTTGCTGCGACGGCGGGATGCGTTCTGCGGCTCCCTCTACACAAGCCGACCACTGAAGGTAAGGTGTCAATGTGCGAGAGAGCAGGTGGGGAACCGGATGCTCGTCGTCTTGCACGATGATGTCCAGAGGGAGGTCATCCGCCAGCTCCGCTACAGGGATCGTGATATCTTGCGCGATAAGTTCCCGATGACCGGGCCTCACTGTTCCAAATAAAAACGCAAGAAGTTCTCCCTCCACGCTGGTGCGCCAGGCCTGGATAAACAGCAACTCCAGACACTCTATGCGAGGTGGGTGCGCTTCGTCCTCGGTCCACGTCAGCCGTACCTCAACCAAACACAAGGAAAGCTCGATGAAATCCTCGCGCCACAGGATCCAATGGGGAGGATGAAGTAGGGGGACAACAACAGGCTTTAGACAATAGGAAAGGCGAGGATGGATGTCAGACTGCCAGAAGGTGGAGAAGGTGGAGGAAAGATAAAAAACGGAGATCTGAGCGAGACTCATTGGGGACGCGGGAAGGGAACGAGGGTAGGGAGTTCCGTCGGGGGATCGCGCTGATACATCCGAAGGCCGTCGTACTCGACCGCTCGTTTCGTCGCGATCGTATCCCCGTGACGAGCCAAAAGTTGGGTCCACTTGGCGATCAGATCGTTCGCCCACGTGCGCAGCGACGCCTTCACCGCGGAATGTCGTAAGGGAAGGAGCGTTGAGAGATCGCCACTGAAGTTGATGATGACCGATATGCGGCAGACACCTGGCACCGCTCGCTGATGAATTGCTACTGCCTCGGCCAGCACCACCGCATCAGGCCGGCCTTCTATTCTGAACACCGCCGCTGCATACACGCCTTCCGTGCAGAAGAAGTGCGCAAGCCGCCGAAGATCTGGACTGAGGCGGGGATGATGGAATTGTCGGATCGTCAATCGATCACGGGGTGCAAGCGATGCTTCGCTGAGGGCTCTCTCCTCCAAAAAACTCATGGCGATGGCGAAGGTGACGGGGAGGCATAGAGGGAGCAAGAAGAAGAGGGAGATGCCGGGGAGACAGAGCCGTCGTCGTCGGCTTCCTCTAAGGGGGAGGCCGATGAAGAAGGAGATGGAGTAGAGGGGAGGAGGCGAAGATAGGACACGTGGCGTGTGATCGGACGAGCCAATCGAGTGCCTGAGACCTCGGGGGCGAGACGCACGGTGTCCACGCCGTTAGGGCCGAGCTCGCTATCGCCCGAAGAATCGTAGCGCTAGGTTACCCTGGCCAGCACATTTCCTTACCTGCACCACGTCCCCTAATTTGTACTGGGGCCGCGGACCCGCATTCCCATTTCGGGCCTCGTAACTGCGGACCTGTCGGCCTTGGGCCAATTCGGTCATTTTTTGTCGTTTTTGGGCTAGCCTGGGCAGGGACCGTTCCATCAGTTCTAAGTGTTGTTTGGCCTTGTCCCGAGCCGTAGCCCTAGTGGGCCGTTGGTTCAGTGTGGACTCGTCTGGGAGGCCTGGTATCGAAACGCAAGCGGCGCTATTGGTCCTCAACTGGAAGGGGCTCAACCCCGTCGATTCGTGGGGCGTTCCGCGATGGACCGCCAGGATGTGGTCGACGATATCGGGTCAGGGCCTCGGATCCCGTGTCGCGATATTTCGTCGCAATGCTATCTTTATCACCCGGTTGGCGTTTTCCACCAGTCCATTGGATTGCGACATGTGGGGTGCAGTATTCCGTATGGCAACGCCATGTAGGACCAGATTCCTTAGCACTTCTCCCCTGAATTCACCCCCATTGTCGGTCAGGATCTCTTCCGTATCCTGGTGCATCCCGAGGAAACGGTTGACGCATCGCACGATTTCCGTGGCTTGCCGCGTGCGACAAGGGTACGCTTCGATCCATTTCGAGAAATGTTCGACAAATACCAATAGAACTGAATATTCGCAACTATTAGGGCCAGGGGGCACCACTATATCGGTAGTATCCATGCTCACTCTTTGAAACGGTCGTTCAACTACCGTGGGCATTATCGATCTAGGTGGCTGAATTCGCGCTTTATCAGCGGCACAGACTTGACAGTTGGCGACGATGTACTTCACATCGTCGTGGATATTGAACCAGTACCACTCATTTTTGTCGATAGCGGACTCCGTGATTCGTACGCCGAAATGAGCCGCAATTTCTTCGTGCACCGTCTTAACACAGTCATACCTCATGAACGGATGCGGCAACACCATCCAAATCCCACTGCCGTCTGTTTTTCGTTTTTCTAATCTGCCCTCTATCCATTTGTAATCTCGAGCCCTCTCGTTGGCCCTCCTCCGATCTTCCTTGGTAAAATCCTGGAGGGGGTTGCCAACTAGGGTGTCAATCAAGGCAATATCAGTCCATACTTCGGCCCTTCTAAACCTCCCGATCTTTTCCAACCCTTCTGACGTGGCATCCAAAAAGCGAGCCTCGGTCGGAATCTTGTCGGTCCGACACAAGGGGCACAACCCCGGTTTACTATCGTTTCTGTATTGGATGCACGAGCCTGGGCTCGTGCGACACACTGTCGACAATCTATCCAGTCCGCATACCCTTCCCCGTTAGGACGCATGGAAACCGAGTACACGCGAGAGATAGCTTCGCAAAAATAGCAAAATTTTGTCAGACAGGGAGAGGAGAGACGAAGAGGAAAGGGGAGAAAGAGGGGTAGTGGGGTTACCTCCGTCATCCATTGCCACCGTTCTGCTTCTTGTCACGTGGGAGAACTGCCACTTGTCCGTACTGAGGCTCGTTTGTCAATTCCGACTCCTTCCACGGTGTAATTTCCTCGCCCTTTGGTACTTTAGCCGGTCGATGCAGACGTGTCAGTCCGTCCACGTTGCCGTGTCGCTCTGTCTTTCGATGGACGATATTGAAGTCATATTCCTGTAGTCGCACCGCCCAATGGCCAATCATGCCTGTGTAATTGGTGAGTTTCTTCAGCGTCAGCAAGGGTTCGTGATCTGTTACGAGGCGAAACTTATGTCCGTAGAGATACGGATGGAAGTGCCGGATTCCCCGGACTACTGCATAGCACTCGCCCTGAGGTGCTGAGTCATTCCTTCGCTTATCCGGTACCGTGTGTGACGCGTATTCGATGACGTGTTGACGACCATCATTCCCCTTCTGCACTAAAATAGCGGAGATAACTTCCGGTTGCCAGTCCGTGATGGGAATGAACTGTTTCGAGGAGTTCGACCGAATCAAAATAGGGGTCGTCGCCAGAGCGTCCTCGAGGGTTGCTAAGGCCTGTTGGCACTCCGCGTCCCAGCTGAGAGGCTGGTCCCTAGCAGGTTCGTTAATGGCCGTGCAATCGTGGCAAAGCCCTTGATGAAGCGCCAACGTAGGAACCGGGGCTTCTTTCACTGCCGCAACCTTTCTTGAGTCTGGTTGTAGTCCTCCACGTGTCACGACGTCGCCCAAGAGCGAAATTTCCGAAAGGAAAAATACGCTCTTCTCGAGCGCAATCTTGAACCCTGCGTCTCTTAACGCGCCCAATGTCCATTTGATATGTTGCGTGTGCCCGTGATAGATTTTCGAATAGACCAGGATATCGTCCATGTACACGATCACGCAGAAGTTAATCATCCCTTGTGTCAGCCGTGTCTTGTTGACGAAATTCTGGAACGTCATGTTCATCGCTCGCTGAAACGTGGCAGGCACGTTGCAAATCCCCATCGGACATCGAACCCACTGCCATTTACCTTCAAACATTACGAAGGCCGTCTTTGGCCGATCTTCCTCCTTTACCAGAATGTGATGGAAGCCATGCCGAATATCAAACTTGCTGAAATAATTAGCGCATCCAATCGCATCCAACAAATCATCAATCCGGAGGAGGGGGTACACATCCTTAATTGTGACTTCATTCAACTTGCGATAATCAATGCATATGTGGATTGATCAGTTTTTCTTCGACACCAGTACGACGGGAAATGACCATGGTCCAGTGGCGGGTTCAATCCATCCGCAGGCTTCGAATTCTCGAATCCGTTCGAGAGTCTTTTTGCGTTCTATCAGGGAGTCTCGGTACGGCTAACAATGGATCGGGGAGTGATTTCCTGTCTGTATTTCGTGTTGAATAGCTAATGACAGGCCAATGTTAGTGTCTCTCACGATAATCGTTCCCCGATATTCCGTCAAAATGTTCGCAATCAACCGATGAATTTCATCGGGTACGTACTGTGTCACGTGTAACTCGAAAAGTTGATCCCAGATCCGTACATCTATCTATTTTGTGCGTGCAAGTTTCGCTACATCGGGCGGGGGTGCAAAAATGAACGAATGGTCCAATCGCCAGGAGAACACCGCAGCCATCATCTGGGCATCTTCTTCCTGGATTGCCATGTGTCCTTCCGAGGTAATCCCGTCACAAATATCCTGCCATGGCACGTTCTTAGTTACGATCTTTATCCCCAGTTCATCTGTTTCTGCTTCAAGACACCCAGGGGGTTCCAGGAACTTGCTTCCCAAGCGTAACAATCGCACTTCTTTAGCGGATGTCAAAAGGGACCTTGGTAGTTCCGTAATGTCGCAGTAATGCTTTTTGTCGCTGTATCGGGAGAGGAGCGGGGTGATTCCTTCGTACAGGGTTCGAGGGGGTTCCAAAGAATCGACAATCCTCGAAATCTGCACGAGGGGTTCACCCAAGATCATCGCCTTGGTCCTTTGAGCATTCCTATTGGTCAGATGCATCGTTCTTGCTATCGTTCCGGGTGGCGGGTAGTAAACACGCTGTCGTGCTAGCTTCGAGATCTTCGGGTCGTCCTCATCAGTGTTGTCCGCATCATTCGTCGATGCTACGGACTCATCCTAGGAGACCATGCGGAGAGTCCCTGCCATCATCGGCGGAACCCGTGGGACTGCGTTGATGGTGGTACGAAGGGTTAGTCTCATAGGCACTGCATAGGGCTTTCCTCCTGTATTTCGGAGGACGATAGATCGTCGTTCGAAATCCAGGTTTGCTCGTAACGCTATAAGAGCAGGAAGTCCAAAAAGAACGTCGTACGTATTAACATCTAGTACTACGACATCCCCAAGTGCGTGCATTTTTCCTAATTGGAAAGCGACATTGGTCATTCTTTCCACGGTCTTGATCTTTTCTTCATCGGCCGAAACGAGCTGATCTTTCTCAGTAAGCATGATCAGATCGTTTTTCCTTCCCGCTCTCTCGACTACTCTTAACGAAATAGCCAAAACGGTCGCTCATGAATCAATGATTGCATTATACGGAATTCCCCAAATTTCAATATCGCATTCTGCGGACTTCCACGAGATGGGCTTAATCCGCAGGAAATGGTCATCTTTCTGGATTAATCCTACCCGTATCGGACCCGATGTGCCTGTCGGATTTTCTTCGGGTGTGGGGCTTTTAGTTTTTGCGTTCGGTACTCGGGCCAGAGCGAATCGTTTTCGGTTCGCTTTGCAGTGCTGCAACATCCGCTCGTTGGCTTGTTCAGAGATCGAAAGCAAATGACCGATCGGAAGCGGAATCCGATGGTCCAAGGCTCGGACGATGTTTAATACATCGATTTCTCCCTTGACGAAAGTGGGTCCTCCTGATTCCATTTCTCCTAGAGAAGGTCGCCACTCCGCCACCTCTTTCTGTTCTGGCGCTGGTCTGATCGTTCCGATCATTCCAAGCCCGGGATAGCCAAGTGATACGTATTGATCTAACGGGATTAGCTCGGCAACCTCTTCCGTGGTGGCTAGGGCACTTCCCCCACCCTCTATTTCTTCCATCAGAGCTCCGACTCGTCCTGGTCCGTTAGCGATGGGCGTCGCGGCCATCGGCGCGACCCCGACACGTTGTTGCGGAGGCCTGTGAGGGCAATCACGGGCTAGATGTCCAGGTTGATGACATGCATAACAGACGTTCAAATTGCTTGTGATTCCTCCAAGAGCGGGGGCCAGGGCTAACCCTTGCTAAATCGGAGGGGCACGCACCGCAATGGGCCGCATGTTCCTCATCATGGCTTCCAACCGAGCATTTTGCTCTTGCTGCTCCTTTTTGCTTTCCTGAATTAGACTAACCAAGGTTTTGGTTAGCTCAAGTATGGCAATGGATTCATTCGATCGTACGGGAGTCTCGAATGGGGGCGGCGGTGCCGTTCTTACAAGCGTTGGCATTACAGGGACGGGGACACTTGGGATCTCACTTGGAACTGGTCATTTAGGGGCTATCTGTTCTATGTAGGTGACAGGACCCGACACAAACCCCATGTTTTCTAATTTGTTTGCAGCACAGCCAATTCGGCTTTTGCCCTTGCTAGTTCAGACGAATCTCCTTCCCTAGAATAGTCCTCTCCTTCCAGGAAGTTCGCCGCGAACTTCCGCTCCATGTCTTCTGCAGCATCCATGATTTGCTGTAATGTGTGACTGATGGGGGAAAACTGCTTCCGCAGATTCGCCCTTATTGTTCGGCTGCAGAGTCTGTATATGAACAGATCTCTCCCTACTTGCTCTCCTCGCTCAATCGCTACAAACATTCGATAGAACTGGTTCCGATACTCCGCAACGGACTCGAGAGGTTTTTGCACTCGATCCTTGATCATGTAAAGCGCTTGCCTTGGGTGAACGTAATCAAATCGGTTTAGAAAGTCTCGTTCGAAGGTCTGAAGATCTACCCACACATAGGTACTAAACCAATGATGAGCGTCTCCTCCCAATCGAGCGGGGATGTTTACCTGAGCTTCGTTATCGTCATACTGCTGTGCTCGGAGCGTGGCCAACCATGCTCCTACAAGGTGGTGCGCAAGGTGAAATAAATATAGATCAGGTGGCGTCATGGGAGCCCGTGCACGTGGGGCGGGTTGATTAGGATTTGGTTGATTGGCATTCTACTGCGGGTTTGGCACATTGTCGGCCATATTGGCTGCTCGTCTATTGGATGATCTACTTCGGGTGACGACGGGGTCGCGTCTATGCGCGTTCTGAGGGCGAGGCCGCCCTCGGTTAGCCAGATCGCCTAATTATTATGCTATTGATCCTAAGACCTAGCCACGTGTCGGGCTCCGATACCAACGTCACACCCAGCGCGACTTCCTGATCGGAGTGGGATGTGGGCCTGGAAGTGCGAAAAGGGCTGTGCCAAGGATTTTTGGAAAAGTGGGGGAGTCTTAGGGGTATGAATGCAATTAGGTGAATAAGGGGCGTGTGCACAAGGGACTCAAGGCCCGATGGGGCCCGGGGTATTGTGGGTGACGGCTCACGGGGAAGTCTCTCCGCGGAGGAGGTGGTCTCGAAACGTTG